ATTTGGGAATAAAGATGGACTAGTCTGAAATAGAACAGGTGTTTATATCGAAAAAAAATAAGTTCCAAGCGACAGTCAGCAAAACGTATACTTACAATAGAATAAAATTAATTAAGTTAATAAAAAAAATGTGTGTGTACTTATGTACTTTAGAAGTGATACTTCTTTAACTTAACAAGATAAAAATCTTTTCAAATATTTTATTCTACGTTTTTATAAAAAAAGGACACTAACTATAGAAAAAAAGGTATTTAATACATTGAAAGTTTTATTATAACGTTAAATAGTTAAGAAAAGTTTATTTAAATATCACAAAATAAAATGTTGACTATAGCTAACCTTAGTGTGTTGGTCAAGTATAACTTCAAAAAAAATTAACGAGTAATTATTCCCTGTACTCTGACACCGCTTCCGTAAACTTTAGTGAATTTTATAGTTTCTTAATTTTTTTCTTGTTTAAAAATAAAAACAAACATGAAAAATAACAAAAAAAAACACTTATTCAGCATTTCTTCGGCTATGCGTTTACGTTTAATACTCGGTGAAACGTCTCATTTGGTTAAAGATGTTGACAATAGCTACAGTGACTGTACGAGAAATAATTTGCAGGTCGTGAGCGGTGAAGCGAGTGCGCGCCCCTAGGGCCGCGGGCGCCTGCCCGACCTCGTGCCGTGAGGCCGCTAGTGCACGCACACACGCACACACACACACGCACACCGCACTAACGCACACACAAGAGTGGACCACTAGCGACCAACCCCACGTTTATTACGTGTAGGCTGGCGCAACTTTGACATCTTTGTGAGTATATTGGGTTTATAATTTTTTTGGTATTCTTTGTAAATTAAAATATTGGTGGCGGAAACTAGATCTCAAAATGTTTTGTTTCCGCTTGTATTTTTTGTAATTAAGTTTTTTGCTCTGGGTTTCTGGAGCTACTCGAACAGAACGGTAGAGTCAACAGCCCTAATGGCTTGTCAGAGAGACTTGATATCACAAGAATTTAAGAATACATTAAGAATGGTTTCATTCCAATTTTTACCGAACTGTTCGAATCGCAGGTAAATATTGTTTTAATCATTATTTATATTTTATATTCTAATTAAATGATGTGGTCCAATTGTTGTTAGTAAGTTTCAAGAAATCGTCATTTTATATTGACTTAATTACTTGAAATTTGTTAAAATATCGTAACGTAAGTTGCGTGTTACGTGCGGTGGTGTAAACAAATATATCGACACGTTGGCAAATTGACCTTGTCATAGTGAAGGCCTCTTTTAAATGTGCAAGGTAAATCATTGGATTATGTACGTGCACAGTATGGCGCATCAGTTTGCCAACGTGCGGGTAATGGCATTAGGTCTGCTGCGATAACGCACGGATACTGTACGACTCGCATTTGTTTTTGTTATTTTAAACCTTTCTTTGCTTTACGGAGCAGTTTGTGATTATATTGTACAAACAATACACTTTTAGTTTTTCGTATGATTTCGAAGACGTTTACAAATGTTTTTTTTTATTAGTTAGTAAGTTATTTTAATTTATTTAAGCTTTAACTTGGATATGTTTGAGTATTAGAATATTTCACCGAAGGCGCTTTTTCGCCCGTTCGAATGTAGAATCTCGTTTAGGCGGAGTCGTTTGGATGTAACCTCTAAATTAGCGCTCGTCGCTCGTCAAAATTACCTAGATCACATAAGATCGCCTCTCGGCCGTATTGCGTTGATGTTAATTTTAAGGTTTATTTAGGGCACGTTCGGCGCGAAGGCGTCGGTCGACGATCGGCGGTCCCTCGGGTATTATCCGTTCCAAAGAGCGTCGATGTTATTTATTCGCTTTAACTTATCGGTTGGTCCTTAGCGGGTTGTAAATAGATGTGTGGTAGACCGGTCGGTGGCGTGTAGTGCGGCGGCAGCGCGGCGGCGGGCAGGCGGCGGGCGGCGCCGGTCGCCCGCACCTCTCTCTCTGTCTCCTTTCTTCTCTTCTCCAGCTCTCGGCGGCTCTCCTCTCTCCTCGGAGAATGAGAGCGGCCTGACCTGCGTTTTGTACTACGAACTTGTATTCTAGAGCTACTGCACAATTAGTGTAACGAGTGTGCTTGAGTGAATCTCTGCGACGTGGAGTCGGCTCCTCGTTCGCGTAGTTGCGATTCTGATTAACGGGCTATGACTACTGAGATATAATGGAATTAATTGTGTCGAAGTTACCTTCGCTAGGGTATATTGAATGTATTTTATTATTTATTGTCACGTGTACCGATCGATTCGGTCCCGTTCGTCCTCGGTGATACTGTCGGGAATCTCGTTTATGTTAAGAAATGATAAATATCCTTTTTGGAATTGAAAATTATTTCACGAGATATTTTCTTAATGTTTATAATAATAGTTGTCTATGAATTATAATTGTATCGCTAGGACATCTGTAGGTTAATGTTAAAATTCTAACTTCTAAGGCAACTAATTAAGTATTCTAACTTCGGATCTACATTTTGCGTTTGAATTGCAATTGCGATATATATTCGTATTGAAATACTTTATTCCTATTTAAAATAGATTTTCATTCATAAAGTACAATTAAATATGAACACTGTATTATATAACTATTTGGATTAACTTCACACGTAAAATGTGGATCTTTTAAACTAAAATAGTGTTTATAGTTCTGTAGAAAAGATGGTATTTTTTGTAATCTGTAATCGTTTATCTTAAACACTATTTCGAAATCAATTATTTATTGGTTAATGCTTTAATTTTATACATTTTATGAAATTTACATCATTTGGTTTGTGATAATTGTTTATATGTTAGAATTTAGTAATCTATTACTAATTATATTGCATTTGTCAAGAAATCTGTTTAAAATCGCACTGCCATTGATTGACTAACATGTTGAAAGAAAATGTCAATGAAAAACAGTTCAAAGATATTCTTAATTGTAATGTTTTAGCAACGTTTTGATGAAAAGTTTTCTTGCTCAGAACGTTTACTTCGTTTAGTCTGAACTGCGAAATATTATAATAAAAACATTTACTAAGTGTTACATCGAATCATCGCTTGCATCTGATAACCATTGATTGATTTAATATGTTGACTGTTTTAATCGATGTTACAGTACAGACTATGTGATTTAAATATTGTATCTACTTAAGTGTACATTTTCATAGATAATCTAGCTACTTGTTTTTGTGCAACGTTAATGTGCTTGGGCAATATGCATTTGTCTGCGCTAGTCAATGTTAACCAGAAATGAGGCTTGTTGCATTAAAATTCTCATAAACAGTATTTTGACTTATTAAAATGTCAATTAACGTTCAGTTATTTTGTAAGTTATTTCGTAGTATTAAAGCAGCTGCAATTGCCTAAGTAATTAACAACTTGATTCCTTTAGCCAAATGATGTCATATCAATGAGATTGAATAAAGTAATAAATATAGTGAAAGCGTTGTTTTATTTATTTTGAACCCTGAATGATTGATGACACAAATAAAATAGTATATTAAAATTGCTTACTTAAAATAATTAATTTGTGAATGAGGTGTTATCTAAGAAGTTGATATATTTGAGGGTTCGGGATCGGCTACTACTTTTTCATAATTTGCAATAACACTTCTCCACATCACATTTATCAAATTATCAATATCTAACGGATCATCACTTGGATCATAATTAAATATTGCCAAATATGGTGTAATTTTATATAACAGGAGGCAAACGGAGCCTTACCTGATGATAGTGATACCCTGCCCATGGACACTCACATTGCCAGAGGGGTCGCAAGTGTGTTGCCGGCCTGTTGGTACGCTCTTTTCTTAAAGTACACTAAGTTGACTTGGCTGGGAAATACTTCTAGTGGTGCTCGGCAATAACTGCTTTAAAAACGTGGACGTCGAGGTCCGAATAATAATCCGAACTCTGAACACTCCATGCAATGTAGTTCTATCGACGTGAGTACCGTTATAGTAGTGTAAAATCGCATTATTATGCATTTTTAGATATTCAATATAATAATAGACAATTGAGATGATTTTCATACAATTTGAGTGATTTAAATAGCGTATATCATTGAATTGTCGCTTTGTTCAAGTCCATACTGATTTGCAAACTTTCGTATCCATACCAATCTTCTCTATACTTTGCTACAAAGCGCACTATTACTCTCATTTTCATCTGTTTGTGCTGACTTCAAAATAAATTGCTACTTAGAAATTAATTGTAAACGTCATTCGTATTCACTTTTATGTGGTATTATTTGACATTCGTTTGGAGCCTGAGTCGAAGCTTTGTAATTTTTGTATTTTATATTTGATAGTGTTTTCATTTATATCAGTTTGAAAAGATTTTATGATGAATTTAGAGATAGGATTGGCTCGATTTCTGTATTGAGGGTGAAATTTGGAATCGAGCCTAAGCGTTAAGTACATGTGTCAAAAATGTAGCGGATATGATCCTACTGCTATGTTGGTAGGTATTTATACATAAATTTAAAAATGGTTTGCCAACGGACATTGCAGTGAAGCTTACATCTAGGAACACACAAAAATAACAATAAGAACTGATTGTACCACTTTTAACAGCAAACATAACTTTGCTGAGTTAAAATACAACTTGGGATGTCATAATACAAAATACATTTCAAAAATCACACTTTATTCACTATACTGGAATTTTAATGGCTAATTTATAATACATAATTCACTTTTACAAATCACAAACCAATCAGCAGTTTTGTATAATAAGATTAAAGTTTTTAACTTTTAACATGAAAACTCGTGATCAACTCGATATACATTTAGTTTAAAAAATATTGCGCCTTGTTATGAAAAATAGTATTTTCAGACTTTAAATTATTTCTTAGTTAATGTAGAAAAATCAAACTAGGATTTAAATTATCAACAGTAATCCTATAAAAACACAATTTTTCCTTATTCAAACATAGTACAACATATTTTTTAAATCACATCTTTTAATATATCATGTTTCATAATCTCCGGAATTTTTCGCTTATATTTCGACTCCACTCAAAGCTTTGATGCCTTTAATAAGTCTGGCGTTCGCGTCTTTGTAATCGACGGGCGAAGCGTTTATAACTGTTGTCTTTAGGCGAGCTTCATCCTGAAAAATAAATTTATATGTAATGGAATGATATTTCATTAATTTGAATTTGACGCGTCGGAGTGACACGCGATAAAATGGCGGATGACGTGTAGATTAATTTAGTGGATTGTATTGTAAAACGATAGATTAAAGGATAAGTGAACATTAAATGTCGTTTCTTTGTATTTCAGGTGAGAATAATTATTATAGTTAGACCATAAGTGCATTGTATTATAAAATGTGATGAATAAAATAAAAACTTTGTATTTCAGAGAAACAATTTTGTGATTCATTTAGAAAAAATCCTTAATAATATTCCTTATAAATATTAAATGCATACAACGTGATGAATATCATATATGAGCCTTGACTGTGTAATTCTGCTCGCAGTTTCTCATTCCAGTAGCAGTGTTGGCCTAGTGGCTTCAGCGTGCGATGTCAGTGCCCAATGGGCTTTCTTTCTATGTGCGCATTTAACATTGGCTCGAACGGTGAAGGAAAACATCGTGAGGAAACCGACATGTCTTAGACCCAAAAAGTCGACGGCGTGTGATTGGCACTGAAGGTTGATCACCTACTTGGCTATTAGATTTAAAAATGATCATGGAACAGATTCAGAAATCTGAGACCTAAAGATGTTGTGGCGCCACTGATTTATTTTTTTATAAGCCAGTTGCATTTTTTAAAAGTAATATTAGCATTAATATGTATATGAGTTAATAATATAAGAAATATATCGTAAGAAAACGATGCGTTATTTAATTTGAAGCATAGCCCAAAGCCCTTAAAATATTAATTGTTTTTGTTATGATGTTTAATAATATAGACTACTCACACTGTAAACTTCCATCTTGGTACGGAACTTAAATAGAAACGTCTTAAACTTGACATCTTCAAAGATATGCGCATACGCAGCCTTGTCGTGTTCAAGAAGACGGCCGATTTCCGCCGCCTTTTGACCCAACATGGCTTCTGCTGCCTCATTGAACGCTGTTATCCGTTGATCACCAGTCGGATCAGACACGTTTGCCTTAAAACATATTTAAGAAAAGTTGAGAAATACTAAACATTGTTGTGTCATATTAATCATTTGATTATAATTATTTTAGAAATATATAATAAATAATATTCATGAAGTGTTTGTTTGTTACTTAATACCCTTTCCAAATGACATAAACATTCTTAGGCTTGTATTGGAGTTTTTAACTCAAGTCTCTCGTGATTCTTAACCATATTTTCTATACTTTGACAGTAGAAGTAATGTCTGAAAAGAATCTAATGGAACTAGAATATATAATAGAATCAATTTAGGTATTTAACCCTTGTGTACAATGAAGGAAATCATCATGAGGGTTACCACAGACCAATAATAAACGGCGTGTGTCAGGTACTGAAAACCTATTAAGAAACAAAATCACGAAGCAAATCCGATTTCCTCTTCGAATCAGTACTATTTTTTTTATATAATAGGGGACAAACTAGCCTACCGGACGCCCAAAAAGGTGTAGTCATCGCAGCCCATAGACACCTATTTTTAGTGGGTGCCTTGCCGGCCTTTGAAGGACACGCTTACTTTGAATAGTGAGAGGTCGTATCTCTCAGGGAAGACCCCCCACCGGAGGTCGCCAGTTCCACAGATCGCTAGTTCGCAAAAGAAAGTGTTGTGAAGCGGACTATGGAAGACCATCAAGGTGATGTTGATGAAATTTCGAATTACGTACGTACGGTGTTGAAACGAGGCAGGAGGGATCAACCCAAACAATTCGTCAGAACACTCCATAATACACTTTGTAGAAAAAGCATAGAGACGCAATGTCTCTGCGTAGGGAGAGAGAGAGAGAGAGAGAATCAAGCCGATCAGTAATACGTCATGTTTATGTCATCATTACATTAGTGTTACCTCACAATCATCACTTTAACACACAAATAACTTACCGATAAGAGCAGACGATACTTGTAATTAGGATACTCCCGGTTGCACTTCTCACATCGGAAAAGTCCATTTTCTTGATCCACCAATTTCTTATTACACTGTTCCTGTGGGCAGGCCTTGTACAGTGCATTGTCTGAGAAAGTGAATGTTAGGACTCCTAGAAGCGAATAATAGTCCCCTTTGCTACCGGAACCGAGTTGCTTCGATTCCGCTTCGGAGAATGACATCCATTCACTGCTACCGCCTGTGTAGCCACCAGCTCTGCAATAATAAGTTAAAGTCAAAAGTCATTTAATTATATAGGTAACACAATGTACACTTATGAACGTCAAAAAAAAAAAGAAATGTATATGAAATGCTTCTAACTTTATATTTAGTGCCAGTTCTCAAATCAAGGGCGTAGAACGGAAGAGAAGAACTGGCAATAAACTCCGCCCCTCTTTTTAATTGCCATGTTTTTTTTACACAATGTTTGTAAGGAGCTGCAACCATTACACCATGTTCCACATGACATCTTAAGTAATTAATTATAATAACATAAACAAATTAAAGAATTGTCCTTTATCAGCAGGAGGCATGGGGAAATAGAAGTACGCACTTACATTCTCGTGGGAACAACACGCAAATACATAGTCGAAATAACTAACATGTAGTGTTTAGTACTTATAGTTTGAGGGTAGAAGGTAGTATGCATAGTTTTTTAACATGACCTTATTTATGAATTTTGATGTTAACAAGACCTAGGACACATGGAGGAACAATTCAAAAGGTTTGGAAGATTTAAAAATTAAACCTAATTAACTAGAAAGTTAGCATCCAAGTGGGACTGACTAATATGATTTGCCTACGAAAATTTGTTAATGGCCTCAAATTAGCATGTAAAGTTATCGGTCCTACGTATGCCCTCATGACACTGCGGTCTTGTAAGACATATCTAGTATGAGTTATGGAATTGTGTAATAATATCTCCTCTGTGTACATGACAACTAAATAGAGATAAACCGTGACCTAAGTGTATAGTCACACAGAAAAGAATAATTGTTAAAGTATTTCGAGTAGAATGTACTGGATATAGTAAACACAACACGTTAATATGCAAGAAATGACTAATACAAGAGCATTTTACTTGTTAATTTTAATTCAACGGGACAGTTACAACAATAAATCTGCATAAGATTTTGATACACTTTTGCTACCTATATTGTATTTTATAGTAATTTTTGACTTCTGGTGTACTTATAATATAAAAAGATCTAGAAGGGGCAGTAAAAAGTAGAGAAATACCGACTAAGGAGGAGAGTTAAGATAATAAATTGTAAAATTTTAGCAAAAGTTATATATAGCGAAACCAGTTCTTTTATTTTGAATTTATTAAATAATTACCAAATACTTTGTTTAGAACAACACGCTCAGCACTTTGAAAAACAGTAAAAAAAATTACCTGGCAGATATGTTGACAACTTCCATATCAGCACCTCCATTGTCGTACCAGCCTCTTAACTTATGTGCTTCTGGTAAATCAGGGTTCATACGCAACACAGTACCTGCTAGACATGAGAGAGATTTGCTTCCGTTGAATTCAGTCAGACGGGCTCCCTGTTAAATAAGATACAATTATTTAAAATTAAGCGGGGATTGTATTTATATATGAATACGGTTTATGCAATTTTTAGGTAGTGACCCATACAAAATAAAATTAAATTTACATTAATAAATATGCATATATATACGTAATTTAAAAGAAAAAATGTTTTAAAATGGTACATTTTCATATTTTTTAAAGGAATCTCGCTGTTGGGCTGTTTTTAAAGGTATCTGGGTAATTTAAAATTTGCATTTAAATTAGCTAGAGCTTCATATACCAATTTCCAAACAAGTAATTAAACAAAACAATTTTTTTAATTTACTATATATATTATTAATACCAATTTAAATCGTAAGTTCGACCTAAAACATATTTTAAGCGCCAGGTAGATACCGTGAGGTTGTCGGATCGAATCCCGCGAAATAATTATTTCGATTAGCTTTGCAAGGCAAGTGCCTTAAATTACGTCACTGTTGCTTATGTGGTTAAATCATTAAATTAAATACTGAAAAATAATTCGTAAATTAAGAAGATTTTTCATAATACCTTTGCAGCTACTATGGGGTTTGTGCTGCTGTCAAATGTCTCCGCTTCGTTACCCCAGAGTGTCAATGATATCTGAAATGATTTTTTTATTTATTCATACATACATCATTACAGACCAAGCCAATACGATAATGTGGAATACTTAAAATTCGAAAAAAAACTACATATAATATGAAGTAGTCACGATATAATAATGTCGCTAATGAACATAAAAAGAAGTCGAGAAATTGTTATTACCAATTTTTTATTCTCCGTTGTTGTAAAGTTTATCTGTATATGTATTCTGTACCTTATAAATAAATTATAATCATGGTAAACAATTAATCAGTAAGTCATTAATAGAAGATCTATGTCTAATTTCAGTTCATTGAACCCTTAATAACAAGTGACTGTTTCACAAGATTTTTCTTTCCAACAAGAAAATATTCTTAGTGCTTGAGGAATGCCTTCAACGGTTAGAATATACAATACTTACTGCCCCTCCAGACGGGTCCACAAGAGTGACCTCTCTCTTCTTCAGCAACTTGCCAGTACTCCGGGCAGTTAATTCTTGCACATCAGATGCCATCTTGCATACTCCTATTGTATCTAAATTAACAAAACTTGATTAGCAATAGTAGATCAGTAGATGTCAAGAAACGGGTCCCAAGCACACCTGCATAATTTCGTAACGGTTCCTTCATATATCAGGAAACTTAACTTCTCGGAAATATATCAAGATACTTTTGTTTTTAAATTGGTCAATTCAATCCAAATTTCACATTAGTAATCATCGGTTTGGTGGTGTTTGGGGTATTGCCCATGCATTTCTGGTAGCCTATGCTACATGCCCTCGTGTATATAGGCCTAATTAAATAATGTTGACAGCTATTTAAGTTAAGGGTAAGATTCAGAAACAAAAATTGGCGCCAAGGTTTAATTTTCACTCTTAGATAGTGATAGGAGTTATAGTTTGCGTTAAGTTTCGGTTCTCAAGGGTGAGTTTTAAACTACAACACAAGTTGGTATGGCCTTTTGGAAATGGGCCGGTCACATATCTAGGGTGCGGAGTGATGGACACTTGAAGCCTCAAAATGGACTGGACCTACTGGAAAGAGGCATAGGACAAACAAAAATATGGGCATAATAGAACTAACGTGAAAAAACTGGATGAATGTTGCTCAAAAAAGGATAAATATAAAGGATGCTTTAACCCTAAAAGGGGCCATACAAACACAAATACTAGACCACTAACAAAACTAACATTCTCTTTCAGAACTTATACTAGCACAAATAATACTTATGCTATGAAATGTGCACTAAACAATTATTATATGAACTAATTAATAATAGGAATGGCAGTTTGTCGGTGGGGAAGGGTTTTGAGAAAAAAATAACTTTTAAATCTTACCCAATAGTGTATCAACATTCTTGTTAGCAATTTCGCTGATTGGTGTGAACTCATATTTAACAGAGGGCATGCTTGAGGTATCTTCCATACATTCCGCGACCACTGTGTCTGCTGTGAATGTCATCTCATAGTCATTTTTGATACTTGTGTACTGCTTGTTGGCTGTTTTTAGTTGACACCGACTTATGTAGTATACCTTGTCTATCTGTAATTTTATAGGTGTAAATAAATAATAATCAAAAAAATCTAGAGCTATAACAGGTTATTGTTCCCGTTCTAGGGTTTTTAACTTGTAATAATTAGTTATTTTGTTAATGGTCCTTCTAGGTACAGAGAACAAGTTTATAATTCTATGGACTGACAATTTGTATTACATTGTAAAATTGATTCGATAGTATGAGCCAAATTGTTATTTAAAGAAATGTTTACTAACTTGTAACATATCATAGAATTTGTCACACTCATTACGGAATGCTGTGGCTCGTATCTCTCCACTTTCATCACACAGGTCACAACTGAACAGTTTTCCCTCACCCTTGGCATTGCTCCATGTGCGAATAGGGCTTTTAGTCATAACGCGCGCTTTGATTACCCATCTATAAATGTTGTATTGAGATATTAGATTTATGTAAGTCTAATACAAAATAAAAATTTCAACAGCTTATTGGAAGGTAGGAAAAAGACACAACCCGAAATGTTAAAAAGGAACTAGGTAGCATTCAGAGTATTTTGAACACTAGAAGCTGAAACAATCACCTGAAATTTTTCAAAAATTTAATAATAATATGTTAATCTCTGTGAAATTAATGTTTTAAATAATAAAATACTTACTTATTTTGATAAGGACTTAAACTTGTAATAGGATGTGTCATTTGTGAACTGAGCATGCTGCTATCCAGATTTGTAGAGGCACTAGAATTTGCCATCGAGCTCATTGGTCTACTTGGTGCTGGCTTGGGTCTGGCAACTGCTTGTAGGGCCTGTGGGCTAGTTTTTGCAGCATCTTCAGACCATCTCATAGGATTACCAAGTTTTTTTCCAACTTGACTTCCAGATGCTATTATTGTGACATCCACAATTATCATGACACGTCTGAAAATACAGTTATTTCATACTACAAGTGATACATAAACCATACATTATAACAGAAGTTTTTGGACTGCAACTTTATTGGTAAACAGCTTCTCTTACTGGCCACCAGTTTTGGAAAGAGTTAACAACTACATGAATTACAAAGATATTTATGAAATATTCTTAATTTTAATCACTATATCTTTTTAGAATACAATCTACAATAAAATAAGTTGCACTGAAACTTGCATTAAGATTATATATTTTGATAAAACTTGTATAGCCATAGGAGTTAATAAGATTAAAGAGATAATGTAATAAATTGTAATGGCTAATTTTGCCTTTTTCATCTTGAAATTAAGAATACATACCTATCACCACTTTTTTCACTCTTTTCATTAGTTAAAATAGAAAGAACAAATCGGTCAATTTGAACAACAGCATAATCAGACAACTCCCCAGAAATCAGTTTATCATTAAGCTGAGTTGCAAGGATGGCAAAACTGTGAGAATGCTTGCCATCAGATAATAGAAGTCTGAATCTTTCACCTGATCCATGACCTTGAATTTTTTTACTACCTAATACTTGCATGATTGGTTTATCATAATGACCGCCTTTCATTATCACCTGAAAATATAATTTTGCATTGTCATATTCTTGTCTTACTATGGAAAGATAAATAATAAATCAACAACATTTTGGTTAAGAGACAGAATTACAATGAAAGAAATTTTCGAATTGGACTTATTAACATTTTAAAGATATTCTCGTTTTAGTACTCAATCTGTTAAAATTGAAAAAATTTATTCATAAAACTTCATACCTCAAGTGATCCTTCTGACAAATTGTATGCCATTGTAAAAGATTATACGATCAGAAAACAAATATTAGAAATTTTTTAATAGAGAAACTACAATATATTTAAACATTTAACTCTGAAACATTATATTATGTAGTTTTCTGTAACAACTAACACCGTTAACCGTAGTCCGTACACGATTTCGTCGTTAATTTATAATGTCAATGTCAAATTTTGGCGCGAAACCAGTTAGATCCATTAAAAAATAATCTATGGAGTCTACCCTTTATGGATTTAAGTTTTTCATTACTATACAATATTAATCTGCGGAAACAGAACCGGCGTGGTGGTAAGGTTTGTATAATTATTAATTCTTATATTATTTAATAAATAAATTGACGCGCTTTCTACGCGTTTATTGTCATAATCAATAGATATAACGGAATCTCATGGCAAATAGGGAAATAAAAATTTGTTGTGGGCAATACTGGGGAAACTGAATTAAATAATCTTGATACTGTTTAATTTTTATTTATGTCTTTAGTATTAATGAACGCTAAGTATATTAGTTACTTGTAAGTGACAACATGAAAAAAATATTTAGAAGAATAGAATTTAGAAATAAAAATTGATTAAATTAAATGGAATATGATGCAAAATGATGATATTGAATGCGTAAAAAATGGAAATAAACAAAAACAAAATAAAATATAAAATTACGTAAAGTCTAAGAAACGGACAATTTAATAGTGGTCAGACAAAATTTGCTTATGCCTAAACCTGAACCCTTTTTTCTCAGTGCTCTTGCTTGTGCTCTTTATACTTTTGCTTGTGCTCCTGCTTCTTCTTGTGTTGTGCTCCTGCTTTTGCTTGTGTTGTGCTCCTGCTGATGCCTGTGTGTTTATTTTATTTTCATCCTGTGACGAAACGAAGAGTTACCAAAACCAGCAGCCTTCATTTTTATTTTTGATCTTGTCCTATTTTTTGTTATGTGTCCTTTTTAAGTTACTTTTTTGTGTTTTTAAATTTGTTTTAAGTTATTGTTTTTTTTTTATGTTAGTTTATTAACTGTTGTGAATGCAGGCCGTGACCCTATCTTGTGATGGCACGTCGATCGCGTCCCATACATGTACATTTTGCAACAAGTCTTTCAAATCTTTGAAAGGCCTCAAAATACACATTTCTAAAACACACAAGAACTGTATTAGCCAAACCAGTTCACTTTTAGAAATCCATCCCATTATTCCGAGTGCGCCTACTTTTGCAGCCAACGCTCCAACTCCTTTTCATACATTACTTAGCCATTTGAAAAATAGTATACCCATTGTTAAAAGAATCCCTCGCGGAGCACGAATAACTGTTGCTACACATTTGTCAAAATTAATCCAGAAATGTTATATAAGCAATTGTACTCAAGACTGGCAGAACTTATTTTTATTTTCATACAGTACACTACACATAATAAAAACTGATGAACCGAATTTATCCCTGACACAAAAGATAAAGAATAACTGTGCTGTAAGTTCCTCACCTTCTCCCGCACCTCTAATTAAACATGATGCCCCTTTTAATCGCAAAAAACTCATCGAGAACAAAATTTGTGACGGAGATCTTAAAGGTGCCGCTCGTCTTTTGTTCTCCAATGACGTGCTATCGCCAGATACGCCTGACACCCTTGAGGCATTACGGACTAAACATCCCCCAGCTCCAGTAAACCCATATTTTCTCGACCCACCAACAGCAGGGCAAGCATGCCTTAAAATTCGAAACAAAGATGTAACTGATGCAATTTTATCTTTTAAACCAGGTTCGGCAGCAGGATTGGATGGAATCTCACCCCAACATTTGAAAGATTTAACATCGCATTCTGTGGGTGATGCAGGCGAGCAACTTATTAACTCGATCACAAAATTAATAAATTTTATGTATTCCGGGGATGTCAATACAGAAATTGTTCCCATTCTTTTCGGCGCGAACCTCATTGCCCTCACTAAAAAGGACGGAGGGGGTGAGACCAATTGCTGTTGGTTCAACACTAAGACGTCTGGCTTCCAAAATTGCTGTTCGACATATTTTACCAAAATTAAATTCAGAATTTGAACCTGTACAGTTAGGCTTCGGTGTGAAAGGAGGGTGTGAGGCAGCCGTCCATGCCCTACGCTCTTTCCTAAGTCACGGACAGCCAGACGTGTTGCTCAAAATTGATGTGAAAAATGCATTTAATTCGGTAAATAGGGATACCCTGCTGACTGAAATAAAACAACATATACCGGAAATATACAATTATCTTCTTCTCAGTTACGCTGATCCAACTAAATTGTTATATCGTTCTAATGAACTTTCCTCGGAAGTAGGTTGTCAACAGGGTGATCCCCTTGGGCCTGCAATTTTTAGTTTGGCTATAAATCCCATAATCAAAAATTTAAATTCTAATTTCAATGTTTGGTATTTGGACGACGGAACCCTAGGAGGTGATGTGGATACTGTGTTTTCGGACCTTCTTTTAATCAAAAATAAATTTGAAGCCATTGGTTTGGAGCTTAATTTTAACAAATGCGAACTTTTCATAAATAACTGCGACTTAAATTTAAATGATGTAAAAAAAAAAATTTCAAATTTTGGCTCCAAATATTAAAATAGTTAACAGGAATTCCCTTTAACTTACCTTTTAGGTTCTCCAATTTTTAATGAATCTATTTCTGATTATATTCATACTTCAATTACTAAATTTCAAAATTCTGCTGACCGTCTCCTTGAAATTAGTCCACATTATGCACTTTGCATCTTAAAATTCTGTCTTTTCCTCCCAAAATTTACGTATGTGCTCCGTTGCTGCTCCTTTTGGAATCACCCAGATATTTTAACACCATTAGACGACTTAATCAAAATTAGCTTAGAATCACTTCTTAATATGCAGCTGAACGAGAAATCTTGGACCCAAGCTTCCCTACCCATCCGTTATGGTGGTTTAGGGATTCGCAAAATTTCCAGTGTCGCTTTACCAGCCTTTCTATCTTCTGTCCATAGTTCAGCAAATCTCATAAGTAAAATTTTAAGGGCATCCCCTTCAAACTTTGAGATTGCTGGCTTGGAAGAAGCTAGAAACGCTTTCTTGATTGCATGCCCAGGTCAAAATTTTCCATTATCTCTAAATTCACAGAGGAGCTGGGATGACATACCCTGCAAGTTGACTTTTGACGATCTTTTGAGTCGTAGTACGGGTTCGGCGCGTGCTAGGCTTTTGGCCGTGGGCACGCATGAGGCCGGCTACTGGCTTCACGCTTACCCATCGTCAAATACAGGAACTTTTCTTGAGCCTGACACGCTTCGAATCGCAACCTGTCTACGGATTGGGGTTCCGGTCTGCGCTCCTCATATATGTCCCTGTGGCAGTGATGTCGACAAGTTAGGACATCACGGCCTGTCATGCCAAAAAAAGTGCAGGCCGCTTCTCGAGACATGCCGCACTTAACGATATCATACGCCGTTCCCTTGCCACCGTCAACGTGCCAAGTCTTCTTGAGCCAAGTGGTATTGCAAGAGACGATGGCAAGAGACCGGACGGTATGAGTTTGATTCCATGGAAGATGGGTCGGGTACTGGTATGGGATGCAACCTGTTCAGACACGCTGGCCCCTTCCCATCTACATGGAACCAACTACAGAGCTGGTGCGGCTTGTGAAGCGGCTGAAAAAAAAAAAAAAGCAGGCAAATACAGGGGTCTGGGCTCTGAATATGATTTTGTCCCATTCGGTGTCGAGACCCTTGGTCCGTGGGGTCCTAGCGCTTTAAGGCTTTTTTAAAGAAATTTCAAAAAAGGTTAGTCGACATCACAGGAGACCGAAGATCTGGCAGCTACCTCGGACAAAGAATTAGTCTAGCAATTCAAAGGGGGGAACGCTGCCAGTATCTTCGGAACCTTGCCTAAAGGGACTCCTTTTAATGATATATTTTAGTTTATGTTAAGTTTCGTTATTTATTTCAATGTATATTATTTTATTATTATTAGTTTATGTTTATAAGTTTAATTTTATTAATATTGTTACCATTACACCATAATATTATTGTTACTTGTATTAAGACTGTTGTTATACATCGTAAATTATTTTATGTACTAATTTATTATATATAATTTCAATCATACTGTACTGTACTGTAGGGATGTTGTATGTCTTTACTAATGAAGGCATTTCGTATGGTTCCCCCCACACGAAGAAGGCCACCCTCTCCAAGATATGGATTCAATGCAATTAATTTACTTTTATTAATGCGCTCCTTTCTTCTTAAGTTCTCAATCTCGTAGGAAAATTCGTCTTCTTGTACGTGACGAATTAACTACCATTTTGCTTCCATTCAGCTAAGTTAAGATGCCGTTACCTTTAACCCTTATTTTTTGGTAAAAGCCGTAATATCCAGGCAACACTTTTGATTGCCCGTGAGAAACTACTGCAGTGTTTTGCTTCCACACTTCTTGAAAAAAATTTTCATAGCCGTAATTGCAGGAGCTAACCAACCCGTCAGATATATCTGACAAAAGCTCTCTTTTGATCGTCTTATTCTAAAAGTCAAATGACGATTGAAACTTAAAGCAATCTTCTTTCGGGTTCCAGTATACCCAGTATTTATGAAATAAGATCCCCTTTTAACGTAAATATTTGCCGAAAGCCTTTTCAATAGGTATGTTTAGTTCGTTGGATGCCCATTTTCTTAATGTAAAGCCCCCCTGCCTGCCACAGATCTTGTAACTTCGTTACCATGCTGCATCCTTCTTCTATAGAATGTTGAGCCCCATATATTGAGTCATCTGTATAAAATGCTTGCTCTGTAATTTCCGCTGCCCGTGGAAACCGAGGTCTCATCTCCATAGCTAGCGGCTTTGACGTCATCATGGCTAAAAAAGAGCGCCACCTTTGTGCCATACGTATGTCAGTTCGTATTCCTGTAACGGTTGAATTTTTGTAGGTATCTCGCCAAATAATTTTTTGCATTTTCCGATCACACTCAAAAATGACAATATTTCTAAACATTTTCTCCACGTCTGCATATGTATACACCATAACGAAATACTTCTTACCATACTCCACTTTAATATTAGGGATTGTAAGTCTTGTTGTTTAAACTAAGTCCCGTTGATGTCTTTGAATTTTGAATACAACACGTAGTTTTGTAGTTTCCGAATGTGCCCGGGTTACACAATGATGAGATAAATAATACCCAATATCTGAACCCTTATTTTTGACAAAAGACATGTGCCCTAAGTCCTTATACTCATTTAAAAAGTCTTTATATTGCCTTGCGGTTTTGGGTTGCCTCGCTTATTTCCGTTCCAGGCTATGAAATTGCTTGTTGTTTTTTTATACAACTTAAGACAATATTGGTCTTCAGAGGACACGACGGATGGAGACTCTTTAATGTCTTCTATTTCCCAAAATTTCTGTAGTAATCTTCAGTGCTATTTAGTATGACTTTAGTTTTCCACATAAAATCCATCCAAATCGTATCTGTTGTGCTATAGGTTGTGAGAGATTTTCTTCTCTGAATATTCCACCCATCTTAATTTGAGAGTAGACATCGGCTCTAACAATATATATCTATTTGGCAGCTTCTGTTAAATTCGGGATCTGCCAATTCGATATCTTTAATATACGGCCATGATATTAAAGGAGTTTTTAGGTAATTTATGCACTAAATTATTCACAATAAAAACTCTTGTTTGTAATGTATAGTTAGTGTGAATTGAAGAACAGGTCAATGTTACCTGACCCTTGATCCGTCGTGTGTTTTCCCCCACTCTTGAGATAACACCATTACCTACAGCCTTCCCTGTTTAGTTTCAACAACCGTGCTGCCTTTTTGCTAATTATTGATATTTGAGACACCTGTCAATAAGTGCGCGCATGATGTAATTCTTTCCATTACCCCACTTCTGCAAAATCTTTAGATGAATAATAATATTTTTTTATATTGAAACTTACTTGATGGACGATTAGGAGAAGTCGAATTATTTAATGCATTATGTAACCTTGTATTATGCTTCTGATAACAAACTGTGCATCTACTCGGTGAAACATAATCCTTGACATCGTGGTTACATAAACAATTAGTATCTTTAATTTTAAAACTGTATCAAGCCTTTGTTTATAATTCCTTGCTAAAAAAGATTTACAATTAAACGTGACATGATTAGGTGATTTGCATAATTTACAGTAGGTACGTGTTTTTACCTATATTTTCATGACGTCGATTACTCACTTGCGATGACACGAATTTATTGTTGATTGGCTTATTATTAGGTCGAAGTAGATGTTTTGCAACAAAATTCTGCTGAGGTCGATTGTTTGTTGTTTCCAAGGCAGTAAATGTTTTTTCCAAGAAATCAATTAAATATTTAAGCACCGGTAATTCTTTGGGATACTTGATGCAATGTATGCTTGATAGGTGTCATAATCTAGTTTTTGAGACAGAATATGAATTATAATGGTGTCCCAATGCTCTTTGTCAAAATTTTGAGCCCATTCAAGCATTCGAAAGTGACATCGTGAAGTTTTTTAATTTGTTCCAGGTTGTCCTTTATGCTTTTATCAATCCTTGGAAGCTGCATAAAACTATTTAGATAGATAATAGAACTATTGACATAGATTTAGATATAGATATATGTTTTTGTATCTATTTGTGATAATTCTCCAACATGCGTCATAATTTTCATTGCTAACTTGCAATTATTGATGTATGAGCCTCTCGGGTTCCTCCCTTAATTTTGATTTTAAATATTGCATTGTTTCTGCGTTAGAAAGGGTTGAATTTTTCCGTCCCGGAGTCCCGGAATGATACCCATTTTTCAAAACTACCGTTATATATAGGTATAGGATAGACCGAAATTTGAGATTTATTCGTCCTTTTGACGCCTATATATAATTATATAGCTTCCTGCTCGTAATATTTATTGTGATACTCAGAGTTGGATTGGCCTACAAGATCAGCATCCATTTCGATAAAGGTTTTAAACATTAAATTCCATCGTGACTTTATTGTTTCTAGAGCTTCCTCAAGACCACATTTGTCGGATGCCGAGTATAAATTAGATAGTTCCAACATCCGATCAAATGACTTAAATAAAGCTGCTTGTTTGCAAAGCAACTCGCATTTGCTTATAGATAGATATATAAATAACTTAAGACTTCATTCCGAATTAGAAAACGATTCCAGGAACTCCACTTGCATTTCTTGATCTTTAGGGAACTAATTACCTACTTAATATTTTTTATTTTATTTTTGAATTTCCTTCTAACTGTAAATGGAAAATGTCCAAGTTTCCCCTCATTTTATTTATTATTATTTTAGGGAGCGTTCAAGTATTACGTAATGAATTTGGGGGGGGGGGGGTCCTTTAGTAAAACGTTACGATGAGGGGCGGGGATTGAATTACGCGTTAATGTTAATATTATTTTCGACATTCCAGTACTTTACTTACACGAAACGTTGTTCTATTGGATACAGAAAAACGTTACGGCGCGTTACATTGGGGGGTCAATAATCTCCAAAAAATTGCGTGACGTACCTAATACTTGAACGCACCCTTATGCCATGAGATTCCGGTAGCTATGACCTAATTTTTATATTATGTATCAATTATTTTCATGCTATTTTTTTCATTTGGTTCTGGTTACGTTGAAAAGCTTTACTTTCATTATATACTGTAAAATGAATGCTTTGCGATTTGTGTTGCTTTTATTATATGCGTTGTTTATGCTTTATTTCTAGTATCGATTGTTTGGGTCATTTACAAAAATGGGATCAAGATATCGCCAAAGAACTTCTAAACATACAAATGACGACTGAATCTTCCATACGCTCTAAATAAAATTATAAATGTTACAACAAATTTTTATTCAAAACTTAACATCACAGTTTTGGTAACGTAGTCATTTATCATAATTATTTACACAATATAATCATTCAGTTAACAATTATTTTGATCAAAAATACAAAATTCAAAAATATATTATAGATAAAAAATACATTTTTCATTGTTGTATAAACTAGAGAAGTAGATACAAAAACGTTGTTAAGTACACTTGCATACATTTACAATAATTTATCTGTACTTTAAAATTCCTACTATACAAAAGAAATTCAGCATTATATAGGAACTACTCAAAATTCGCAGGCTTAAAAAGAATAACTATTATTTATTCACGACTTAACATAAAAATCGGTCGCTTTATGAAAATGTAAAAAAGATAAGTCGCCGAAACATCACAATGTGTACTCGTAATTTGTTTGATTAGGAATAACGCTCTGAAGTTTAAGACAGAAGTAAAAGTGAATCAAACTTAATGATCCCATTACAAATGGGATAATCAAAGTACACATGATGATTTCATTAACATGGTTAATAATCCTGCTTCAAAAGAATATAAATGCTTGTATCAAAATTTTTTGTTCTAGTCACGTTGAAATGGTAAATTATTTCTAAAATCCGTCCACACTGCCTATTCGTCTGCTATCAGTCTGCGGTACAAAATAGTCGCCGCTATCTCTCATAGCCGCCACCATAGCCGCGAAACCCGCCGTTGGGCCACGGCTGGTGGTCACGTGACCGCGGGCACGTAAAGAAGAAATCACTGCCTAAAAATAGAATAATATAAAATAATAGCTTAACTTCTACTGGTATCCTAAATCAACAGGGTAAGTTTTGATTGTAACAAGTTGTAATAAATAACCTCTTTCATCCACAAATTATTACATAACATTACCGTTGCCAAGAATGTAAAATATGTAACTTCACTTATATTCGTATAGGTAACAGATGTGCCACACAATTTTAAGAACCGAAAAAAATAACAAATAAAGGTTTTTGTTAGTCCAGCGTCGCAACCACCAACCACATGCAAGCAAATAAGACAACCATAATTGTCATACTTCATTCAATCCTATTTTTATGTTAGTTATTATTTAATAATAGCTTCGAACAAAGTGTTTCATTTATTTGGACATCCCTCCAACAACTGCCACCGAATTGAATATATCCCATATAAAAACAAATTACAGTGAAATCTCTGTCAAGGGAAATGCAAAGAACGAGTTAACGAGTTTTCGACTTAACAAGAACTTCGGGGTACATATGATGTTAAGTGCGATTTGTTGAGTCGAATTTGAATAACAATTCGTAGTATATATTTTTAGAACGAATGACTGTATTTTTTATTGAGATTAATGAAGTAAACTGTACAGTAAACATAATCCATTAACTTCTTCTGGTTTCTTAGAAAGTTTTATAAATGTATTCATTCACTGCACGTGTACAAGACAATAAGACTGGGTTCACACGGCATTGTCCTGCACGTTTTTTTGCAGTATACGTCTTAACGAATAAAAAGTGGCAAATGTATTGTACATAGACCCATTCACACGTTTGTACTGCAAAATATCGTACAGCGTTTATACGTTCAAACGAATACTCAACGGACTTGTCAAGCATATCGAATGAACTTTAACGTTAATTCGGTTTAAAGGGGCACATAATATAGCTCTGTCTCGTTCTCGCTCACTGTGACAATTGTGGGAAGACTGCGGTAATACTTATTTTACACGAATGAAAATCTAACATGTGAAAACCCGGGTGAAAGTACGTTAAAAAAACGTATACAAAGAAAACGTGCCGTGTGAACCCAGTCTAACAATAGATTAGAAGCACCGAACCCGATCATTCATTTTGAATTTAATTGATATTATTTCGGAGAATTCCAAGTAAGAAGTCATTATATTTTACTAACTCCTCCCCCGAGTCATAGAGTATAAGTATGTATATATTATCAATATTTCGCGTAGGGAAATAACATTTTGTTCGAGTTACAAAGTCTAAATAATTCGAGATACTGCGTAATTCCGGGTTTAGCGGAAGGGAATGGCAATATTTTACGACTTATTGAGGATTTCGACTTAACGAGGTTCGAGTTATAAAAATTCCACTGTAATACATAGCACTAAACTTAGTTTTGAGTGCTTTTTAGCAATCGTGGTCAGGAGTTTCATTTAAGCTAATTGTACCACGTCAACACTTAGTTAAAAAGAACTTACTGGGTCGAACTTTTCTTCATACTCTATTTCCATGGGAATGAGTTGGTGATGTAGACGCGGCCTCTTCATGACCTCGGGCAATTCACTGTCTTCGAGAAGCGTATGCATTGTTAGCTGAAAAAAACATACTTAATTTAATGCACAATGTATGACGCCACAAACATTATTTACTAACGGCCTGTATTTTCTTAATATTTTGGAATAATGTAGCAATCTAATAGTAAAAGCATTTTGGAAATCAGTAGTAGTTTTTATTTAATTTAAAGTCTTTATAATTGCCAGCCAACATAATAAATATTTAACAATGCTGTATTTGTACAAATTAATACTTGCGCCTGAAATTTTGTAACATTCTAAATGTTAACACGTATGGGCTAGTTGTTGTGATGCAGAACTTGAACACCTACCCTCCGTAGTCGTACTAGTTAAACTGTATGTCGGTAGAGTAGTGCGGCCAGCTCGTTGTCTTTTTTTGGTATTGGTTACAAATATATGAAACTACTAATATAAATTATATTATATTTATATTTACCAATATAAATCTTCGATTTTTATAACTAATTTGTGTTGTGCATTGTCACAGTAAAGATATAAATTGTTACCAATGCAACTTGAGTCGTGATCTTCGTTCCACCGGCGCCACCAAGTATCAAGTCCACCGTGTCATTATTTCGTAGTACAATACTCGGTGCCATAGAGCTGAGCGGTTGTTTACCCGGGCTAATAATGTTAGCAGGGGAGGGAGGCATGCCGTATACTGATTCCCGATTGGGAATAGCGAAGTCATCCATTTCATTGTTTAATATGATTCCTGTGCTTCTTGAACGGCGCTGTGAGCCCCATCTATAAAACCATATTTCAGTTCTAATAACGATTCTTCTTTAATAACGATGCAAACACGAAATAAATATTTGATCATGAACAAATGAAGCGGAGTTTCAGCAACCTAAATGAATTCATTTTTATAATCTTAATGATATAATTTTTATAATTATTTTATTAAGACTATCTTATCTAGAACTATATTGTGATATTTTGCGTAATTAACAGTAGTAAATATTGCATAATAATTAATCTTTTTGTCATTGGAGTGAAGTTACGCCGCTCTAAAGACAAATTGTTTAAATACTGTAAGTTAAACTGTTTAACGCCTCATGCCTCACATCAGGTTGTTTCAGATGATTCTTAAGACATTTTTCAATGAATTAAAATAATCCTATAAATAGAAATAGTATTATGGAACGCCACTGAAAAACGTAGAATAAAACAAGATCGATTGCGCCATAGAGCAACATTAAATAAATTTTCCTTACATATAGTTAATAGTACTTGTAGCAGATACGGCACTACCATCTGGTGCGACAACAATAATATGCGCAGTGCCGTGGTCGTCGGCACCTTCAAACATTGCACCATAGTATCTCCAATCTGAAAATGTGCGAGTGTCGTCCACTTTAGCTCTGTGCTCTACTGCCCACTCAGGCGTAGACAAATTGCGTTCCAACTGAAACAAAATATAATCAATTCAACACACGTTTTTTTAATTTTCTCTCTATATTCAGATATAGAAATGCCCTAAAACATTGAATTTGAATCGATGATTCGTATAACGTAAATATTTCTAATACTCAACTGTTATTATAGTATTGATAAGGCACTAATATATTCTTAGGCCTGGAAAGACAATAATGAGGATAAAAGTAGAGGATGATTGTTGCCATTTTAGATTTCAATACATATTTGGAAAATAGCGAAACTGGATGACAATGCAATTTGTAACCTCGTTTTTTCGTTATATATATCAAAACCTCTGTAAGTTTAGAACGCAATTCAACAGCTACATAAAAACAATAGGTGTAATTGATCATTAATCTATGGGTAAAGTATCAACTTAAGTAAAGTTGATACTTTATGCAAATGTTATACTAATATAAATTTCTATTTTGTTAATAATAGTAAGTATGTTACATGATGTCATGCTTTGGCAAAACTCATTATTTTCTATAATTTATTCAAAATATGTATATACAGAGTTTTGTTTTCAATGTGATCTCCTGAACAAAGTCAACAAAATAGAATTTTATTTAAATGTTTTTTGCCGATTGGGTTATTCTTTAATATGATTCCTGTGCTTCTTGAACGGCGCTGTGATCCCCAACTATATAACCAAATTTCAGTTCTGTAATTTACACACTCTAAGCAGGTGACGAAAAAAAATATTTGTCTTGAACAAACGAGGCGGATTTTCAGCAACCTTAAGCATTCTTAATGTAATATTTGTTATCTCCTGAACAACCTCTACAAAAATATAATTGTATTTAATGTTAAATGTTTGTTGTAACATAGTTTTGTTAATCATTCAGCCCAGTAAAGCCTTAATATATTCTCCAGGTTATTAAAGCATAAAGTTCAATAACAATATATCATGTATATAATATAATATGTCAAATACGTCGTAGTTAATCAATGTTATCACTATCAGTAATTACTTTAAATACGAGACTTCGTGTCGTTTGATGTGAAGGAAATCTATATAGATAAGGCTTTGTGCATACAAAACTAAATCCAATTTTAACTCTTATCACTACTGTCAATAATTTACGAAACTAAACAGTAAATAATTATTAAAAACATATTTTGTTTATATACGATAAATTTTAGAATGAAATTATGAGATGATCGGATGACAGAGTTGGATCTTAAGTCATGTACATATTAAGATAGTTTATTAGTTATATTAATAAAAGAAAATAGTAGAACGATTAAGTTTGTTTTTTTGGTACAAAAGCATTTCATTCAAAATTCATATATTTTTTTACAAACCTTTACGTTTTTAGTGTTCCGGTGGAAAGTGGAATAATAAACTTGAATAAAATAAATAACTGCAAAGCTTTTCTGTTGGGGTGGGGCACTTACTGTGTCACTTCCAATAGAGACTCTTCCTGACACTCCTGGCACGCGGTTTTAGTAAAACCAACGTAAAGGTGGTAAAGATCACCTACCTCAGCGATGCTAAACGGCAGATTGGTGCGGCTAGGATCTCCCAGGCCGGTTCGGCGCGCGTAGGCGAACTTGAAGGTCTCCACAATACGATGCCAATAAAGGTTACTGTCGACTGGCGCGTCTGATCCCGTACCGACCCACTCTCGAAGCATATTCAAGATGAAGGCCAGTACTGACCCGGAGCCTGGCAGGGGCACTGAGTACAGAGTGTGCTCTGGTGATACGCGCACGACGATTGGCTCCTGCCATTCTGTTCTGTAAAGCAAATTAGAATATGAAGATGATAGATGATAAGATTTTTTTATTTTTATTTTACTGAGAAAAAAGCTTTCCAACGCTCGGCACACTGACACATTGGTAAAAACAAACACAAAATACAATTTTTAAAAAAAAAAAAGGTAAAAATATTTAAAAAAAAAAAAAAAAAAAAAAAAAATTTTCCCCAAAAAGGGGACCTTGCCCAAAAAAGGAAAAGAAACTTTCTAAAAAAGTGTGACTCTTTTTTCTCCCCTCCTTTTCCCCTTCCGTAACTTTCTTCCTTGGACATCCATAAGTCGGGCGGGCCTGATGGCATCCCTCCAATTGTGCTGCGTACTTGTGCTCCTGATTGGCCCCCCCCCCCCCCCCCCTTTTCCGGCCCCTTTTCCCTCGGCACTGTTCCGAAGTGCTGGCGCCTCGATCCAACCGCACGCACCCTTATCCGTCCAACTACGCCCAATAGCTATAACCTCCTTGTTCTCCAAAATAATGGAAACCATTATTAACAGCCACTCTTGAGGTACTAGGCCCCCCCCCCCCCCCCCCTCAAGCAAACTTATTACAAAAAAAACCAATTACTAATCCAAGAAAAAAATCAAACCCCCCCCCCCCCCCCCCCCCCCCCCCCCCCCCCCTCCCCCCCCCCCCCCCTTCTTCTTTTTTCTCTTTTTTTCCCTTTCTTGTTAAGTTATTTTAACCCCCCCTTTTTTCCCTTTTTTTATCCCCCCCCCAACCCCCCCCCCCCCCCCCCCCCCCCCCCCCCTCCCTTTTATTAAACCCCCCCCCCCCCCCCTTTTCCCCCCCCCCCCCCCCCCCCCCCCCCCCCCCCCCCCCCCCCCCCCCCCCCCCTTTTCAAATAATAATAGAATATTATAAAAACCCCCCCCCCCCCCCCCTCCCCCCTCCTCCCCCCCCCGGGGTGGGGGGGGTGTGTTTTCCCCTCCCCTTCTCCCCCTTTTTTTTTTTTTTAGTTGGGGGTTTTTTTTTTTTATTTTTTTTTTTTTTTTTTCCTTAAAAAAAAAAAAAAAAAAAAAAAAATCCATCCCCCCCCCCCCCCCCCCCCCCCCCCCAAAAACATTTTTTTTTTTTTTTTTTTTCCCCCCCCCCCCTTTTTTTAAAAACCCCCCCCAAAAAATTATTTACAAAAAATATTTAAAATTTTTTAAAAAAAAAAAAAAAAAAAATTATAAAAAGAAAAACCCCCTCCCTTCCGGTTTTTGGTGGGGGGGGCTTAAAAAACCCCCCCCCCCTTCCCCCCCTTTAAAAAAAAAAAAAAAAAACCCGTTTTGTTTTTTATTTACAGAAAATTTTTCTTTTTTATAATTTTAGAAGAATTTGGTATACTTAGTAAAAAAAACAATTATACTGCAAACCAATTCCTAAACAAGTAAACGATATTTACCTTTATGAAATAATGATAAATAGAGATAATGCTCAAGTAAGGGCATAAATACCTTAGCATTTGCTTCCGTTTATCTGATATAATAGAAATTATTTCAACAAAGCGATAAATTATACTCAATACTTCCTGGAACATCGTAATCTGCTAATGTGTCTCAAGATAAGTAGGCCATTTGCGAAAGTTGTTGCAAAAACTAGAATTGGTTTTAAAAACAGTCACGTGACTAACGGAATATAGTTTATTTTGGACACGATATAATGGTTATGTTTAATATTATGGCAAAGGCGGTTAACCTAATTAGGCCATACAAAGCTAAATATTAAACCACGAGAAACGTACAATACATATAGAATTAAACTTTAAATTCTGTAAATTTTGTGTACGCTATATACGTGTTACAAGTTACCTGTAATTCCTGAAGTCGTCTTCTGTAATGATGCCACCGAAATTCTCTATATCTCTCACGAGAGCTGCGGTGAGAGAACCGTTGTGTATCGCCTCCGGGCCCTCCTCCGCGATTATATCGAGGGTTCGCGCGAGGGTCGGTTCGCGGATTGTATCCCCCCTCTTTCCACACCTCCCCGGTTGCTGGGTTCATGTATACTTCGCTACATTAGACATATCAGTATATACATTAAGTGATATAATCTTAGCGGTACCGTCGGTATGAACTATTAGTTTGTTATATTAATAAAGAGACCATGTTCTATAATATGAGTGAGCAGTATGAGTGCATTGTTTTTAAATTTATCCTTATTCAAAAACATAGTTAAAAAAGTTATAAGGCAACGGGCGGCCTTATCGCTAACAAGCGATTTCTTCCAGCCTCCAGGCAACCGTAATGTGGAACAATGAAAAAGAAACACCTACAGAGGGTAGAGTACAAGAAATGCAAAAATAATTAACAAAAAAAAACCTCAAAATAACACGTAACTATAACAAAAATAAAATAAAGTAAAATCTAAAGAAAAAATTACAATAATAATAAATAAAAATATGTATTAATTTTTTTTTAAAGTCAATCTAAAGGTTAACTGATTCGCAATTATTAATATATATAAACAGAGCTAATTACGAGCCAGAAAGAAAATTATCAAAAAGAAGCTTTTTAAATAAATTTAAAGACTGAGCTCGTCTAATATCAATTGGTAGGGAATTCCATAGCAGAATACTTTTCACAGTAAAGGAGGCACTCCTCCTCTAGAATGCAGTTTTATGAGTAGGAGTTTCAAGAATTAGATTAAATTCTTGCATTTATTTCTTGCAAGCAATTAATATTTAATGTAATATCTTACCTGAAAGACGGTTCGGCGAGAATCCGATCGCTGTAAGACTTGAGTACGCGTCCCATATATTCGCTGACGCGGTGTCCGTTCCGGGCGAGGTCTGCTGCCGGCTTGACCAGCTCCTTCCAGGGCAATCGGCCGTATTCTCGGTAGAGCGCGCCGTAGCCTTTCAATTCCCCCTGGCACGGCGATCGCGCGACCACCTACTTGGGAAGATGCGTTCGCGAACATGTCTGAATACGTTGCCGCTGGAGCTCTCTCCCTGGCGTTCAGCACTCGGACTCTCCCCGTAGGTGCGTCGTAGACGGTGGCCAAGAAGCCCCCGCCAAGACCCATACATTGCGAACAACCTAGGCCCTCACAGAATAACGTCGCAATAGCAGCATCCACCGCTGTACCATTTCTTTCCAATATGCTCCTAAAAACAATTTTTAACAAATTTAGTATCATCTCTGCATGGATATCTCTGTTTTCTTAAGTCAGATGCCAGTTAATATAACTGGTGTTAGGTAATTCTTCCATAAGATTTTTGGAAATATAATTTAAAATAATTGCCCGTGTCGTTCTTCTAAGTACTAAGATACGTACCGGCCTATAGCAGCGCACTCAATGCCATTGGCAGCGACGACGGCCCGTGGGTAGCGCGGGTGGTCAGGGCTGGACCACGGTTGCAGCACCAGCACCGCCACCAGCGCGCCCACCACCAGCGCCGCGAACACACTGCCTACTAGACACCAACGCGACCTGAACACGTACCATTTAGATTTTGTTTAACTATAAGAAGTTTTCCTATAAATTGTAACTAGTAGGTATGTAGTAAGGACTTAAATTAAGTAAATATTATAATTACAATGGATAAATCAACATTTAGATAATGTGAAGACGATTCTATCACAGAAGTAAATTTCGACTTACGGGTTTAAAACCAACGGTTATATCAATATTTTAAAGACAGCTAATCGTGAAGTACCTACGTACAAAGATTCATTTGTAAATTATTACCTTTATTAAATGACGGTTTTGTTTAACACTTAACCGAACATAATATTGTATTACAGTATGTCTTGTAACTGTAAATGTTTTAATACTAGCACAAATAAATTTATAATAATTGTAGATACAATAAAACTAAAAAATATTGTTTACATGGCATACGCCATTTCAAACGTCTTGACCTGAATTAGCTGACAGATTTGACATTTGTTTTATTAAAATACGAAGACCAAAAGAGGTTTAAATGAGGATAAACGAATGAGTTGCAAGTCATTAGGTCGGTAACGTTTCTTCTGGAACAGTCTGTATATTACGGTTCCTTGGTCGGACTGGGTTAGTTCGGGGACGCTTTAACTTACAGAATTTGTATGAAAAAAAAGCTATGTATTGTTACCTCACACTGCTCATTATTACTAATTACAGTGCTTATTTAATAGTAAACGGTAAAGGGAGTTCAAGCTATGCAACTGCCATAAAACTGACGATTAGTCGCTGTATTCTTGAAGGACGCTAAGTCGCATTAGTTTGGATATACTTTGATGGACAGTTGGTTCCTTATAACGATGCTGCAACGTACCTAAATGAGATATAGAGGTGGAAATTTGTTTTGTGCCTAGACGTCCAATAATTCAATCCCATCCATATATACAACTCCTAAAACTCTCTACAGTGAATAAGATGAATGTATTGGCCGGTGTAGCTTTTACAAATAGAATTTTGCATCTAAAATCTTAAAATTTTTGGTATATCTTCAATTATCAGCTAATTAAAAAGTATAATAAGATAAATAGTTTAAATAAAAAATATAATATTTTCCGTCTTATTTGTTGTAAGCTTATTTATAAGCATACTTTCACATAAATAATACCTAATTGTAATAAAACTTTATGATATGATTTAGCATATAATGAGATAAAAATATTATATAAAAGCCTTATGATATTATTATCATATAATCAGGCACGTGTCAATATTTCAATTAAATAACAGCAGACAATATACATAATTTTTTATATTAAACACTTTCTCCGCGTACCTATAGACTTTCAACAAATTAAATATTTCTATATTTAAGCAGAAAAGAATGGATCAAATATTTCTAAAAATACATTCTCAAATATATCATACTCGAAATAAGAAAATAGGTCCTGAAACTATAGAAACCATAACTGTTTCGATAATAATATTTCCAAAACTATTTATTTTTTTTGTAAAACCTACTCATTCTGCAAGTGAGATAAAAAAAAACGATCTCCAGATTATTCACTTGGTTACGAAGTTATTTCTAAACTATCACCCAAAGATATTCTTATAGAAATCAAATGTTATTAAGATTATAGCTATAATAAAGGACAACTCTGTCCGAAATTGAATACTTGTGATGAAAACATATTAAATAGAATATTAGCTTTATTAAAAAAATAACGGTTTAAGAATAAATTATATAGCCATTCAAAAAGTGAATCAACTTTAAAATACTTTTGATTTTGCATAGACTAATCGTTTACGCAGTGCACCCACCGAATGATCTTAATAAGGTAATTTTTTTATTGATGTTCCGCTCATTATGTTGATGTTTAAATGGCAAATTCAAGTCAAATTTTTCAATTGATCTAGTTGGCGAAAATAAACTCTAAGCTTTATATTAGTATAGATAACAGAATCCTCCATCCGACTTGAGACGTACTTTAAATAGGTACATTAATATAATTTTTTGGTTTGTAATCAAAGTTTATCAGACCAATTATTATTGTATAATTTCGTGTTTGTTTTGAAATTTTATCTTCAATGTAATGCTGATGTTTTATATTTAATTACTCATTCCGATGTATTTTCTGTATAAACAAACGATGATATTTCGTGCTAGACACCAGATTGTGCCTCAATAGTTTCCAATAAACGCATATTATTTTGCCTATTTTTATTTTTAGCAATGTAATTAATGATTAAGGGGTGATTTAATACTTACTTAGTTGTATGCTGTTTATTAACCGGCTTAACCCAATTTATTACTATTTATATATTAGTTAATAATTAGAAGCGCAAACAAATGCTTGAAGCGAATATGAACCTTTTAGTGTTTTCTTTTCATAAATTGTAATACAACATTCTTGTATCCGATAATGTCCAAAAAGGTCTACTGCAAGTATTGAAGTGTCGCTTAGATTTATGAACACTTAGATAAGCCAAGTTAGTTTTTGTTAGCGACGCAACCCTACTTACCCTAATTTTATGTTAGGTATAAGCTCATATTTTAAACGATTAAAGTCACTTTTGCTTCAAACAAAGTGTTTCATTTATGGTTAGTTAAAAGTACAAATACAAATTATATAAATACATATAAAACATCATAAATAAATATAATTAAGATGATATGACGATATGGTTTTCCTTTTAAACTCGCAAGGATAAATTCAAAAATATTGTTCTTTATAGGCAAGTAGACGATCTTATGACGATAGACGTTCTGGTTTCCTCTACTATACCTATTATACAATTGCGTACATAGATAGAAAAATGCAATTACTCGAATGCACTAGCATTTTCACTAGCTTTGATAATCATTAATAGAAGATAAATAAAGTTAGATACTTTAATAATAATTGTAAATATTGTAACTCTAATGTATAATTTACGTCTTTATACATCCTAATTTATTTGTATTATTATTCGCATAGAAATTAAAATAGAAACACATTTTTCATGTGTGAAATAAGTGTTAAAGTAGTAATCAGTATTCTAAATATGCTTAAGAACAACGAGTGTATTATTTCGTTATTACACGGTCGAGTGGGTTTGACTGGCGACGTTAAAAGACATGCAAGATAACAATTAATTTAGCTAAGTATCGTGACGTGTGACGGGATTTTTTTTCATTTCCCTTTGGTAATATAAGGTGAGCTCGCCTAGTGGTAACAAATCAGATTAGGGTAAAAAACCGCCTTCACCGGGGAAGGAATAACAACTATAAAATAATTAATAAATCTGACTCAAATGTATGCCGTATGTACAGAGGTTGTAAGTATAACTTTAGTATAACCAAGGTAACCGAATGGACTAACCCAAAAGGACAACGAAACAAGGGCAGACCGAAAGAGCGATGGGACGACGAAATTTAAGAGTAGCTGGCAAAAAATGAATGTCGTCACATAAAATAAAATAAGGTGGAAAAAGTTGGAGGAGGCCTTGCAAACCTATGAAGCCCCTCTTTTTTTTACGTATCTTCATGTTTCAACGTATTTTATTTATTATTTGTTCATGTTCTCCAGTTTTATACACTTAAATTATATTTTCCTAAGGATTAGGTAAAACCAGTTCGCTTCCGCTAGCTCATTCAGGGAGAGGAACGGACGTAGCTTCGGCGGCATCATCTCACATTAAAAACAGACAAACGGAGTAAAATTGAACCACAAACGCAAATATTATCTTAGGAGACAAATATACCTTTACCTATGTTTTGTTATTTAAATTTGCGCCCATTGTACCTACTTACTTATCGATTCTCCACTACAAAGAATATGTTGTTGTGTAACTGTAACGATTTTTTTTCCGGTGGAGGCGCCCTTATTGTCTTGGCGTCTGTGTGCCTCGCACACTTCACACAAGGGCGGCGCGGCCCTGAGTATAATGATCGTGATAATTGTTAAACACATTGCCTTAAGAATGTTCTCAACAACTATTGGAGATATAAATCAAACATGCTCGTGTATTGTAAACGTTTAATTCTACAAAATGAAGACGACAGGGAAGTGAACAAGTTCTTGAGTCATTTTAACTTTTTTATTAAATGGAAAGACGCATCCAAGGAATTTCTTATTCGTACAAATAGGCCTAAATACCTTATGTCTAGGGGCTGTCCATTAATCACGTGATGTTTTTTTAACATTTCCTCACCACGTATCCCCATAGTGATACGTGGTGAGGTTTGAGACTACCCCCCCAACCCACATCAAAAATCACATGTATTTTTTACTACCCACAAATGATCTTACATTTTTTTAAATATTATTTTTAAGTACCGGTATAAAGTATAATCTAATCCAATTCTAGAAAATTAAGGACCATGATAAAAATGTCAAGATATAACGGTTGCAGGTTGTTTTTGACTGGCATAAAAATAATACATATTAAAGGAATATTATTGGAACGAAGTTCCTTATCGCGCGTTGTGAAAGGGGGCTAGACGGAAAAAATTCTTACGAAAAGTTGTCACGACACTTTTTTGCTATTTGCTATTGTTTGTTATAGTTTGTTAAGCAACGTCGGGCGAGGTCAGTACTTGGATGGGTGACCGCTTGGGAACACCTCGTGAAGTTGGCTTTTTTTTTTCGTCGTAAGATTGGTGTCGAGAAAATCTATCATACTGTTATGATACCAATTAACATATAAATTAATCGAAAGGAATTTCGTTCCATCCGGGTGTCCCTTGACACCTCTAAAGTTTTATATAAAAAGGGTGTAATCATGCGAAAAACATATATTGTATAAGTACATGAACATATTTAATGTACATTTAACATTGCCACAGATTAGCAAGACTTTTTCTTCAATACTAACTGGATCTTGCAAGTCAGTAATTGGTACTGTACTTTGTTGAAGATCAACGGCGGTTTCATCAAGCCACTCGGCGTCATCACGCGCACTACGCAGAGAATCTCTCTCGATCTACTGATCGATCGTTTTTCTAAGCCGCTTTTCGGGTTAGAAATCACACGTTTGACGAAAAAAAATAAGTACCGGTGATATCTTAATATACCCCCCCTCCACCTTGTGTTATTTGCTTGTCCGTGTAGACAGTAGGATTCCGAATATCGCACTCTGATGTAGCCAGATGACATTGTGTACAGTAGTTCAGAATGCTTTCAAATATATATTATTCAATACGTAGAAATTTATATATTATGAGATCGATTGGTATTTCATAAACTATTAGAAATAGCTTTGGGTCTACACCAGTTAGCGACAAACACTAAAAATATAATTCCTGTTGATAATAATCCTAATCTATATTTTGTCGTTATATAGACATCTCTCGTTATCAGCGATAAAATAATCTATCTGTTAAGATTTCATTTGAACATTGACCAACTGCTGTAGTATTTTATATAAGTTAAATAGTTCTTATTCATCTTCTGATTAAAAAATAAAAATAAAAAAAAGTCTTATGTATTAGAAAAATATAGCGTTTCAAACAATACTCTGAAGATTGAGGGTTTCAAATTGCAACTTACAATAAGACAGTAATTTTTATAAGAATAACTTATTCATAATATTTCTATGAAGATATAACTTCTTAAAAAATTTCATTTTTCTCTTTAAAAAGACGAAGAACTCTTCACAGGATAGCTGCAGATTAAACTTGATGAGTAACTCTGATTTCATTAAATTTACGTAGCATTTTAAAAAGA